CCTCCCCAACACTCCCAACATCCCTATACTCCTCCCCAACACTCCCAACATCCCTATACTTCTCCCCAACACTCCCAACATCTCTCTGCTCCTCTTCAACACTCCCAGCATCTCTATGCTCCTTCCTAACACGCCCCAGCATCTCTCTGTTCCTCCCAAATACTCCCAACATCCCTCTCCTCCTCCCCAACACTCCCAAACATTCCTCTGCTCCTCTCCAATATCCCTCTGTTCCTCCCCAACTCCCAACATCCTTATGCTCCTTCCAACACCTCCCACCCCAGAATCCCTCCGTTCTCCCCATCACCCCAACCCGTGTTCAAAACACAGTAATACCACCAAGTAATTTCCATATATACAGGTATTCACTTTACGACCTGATCATGGAATTCAATCTGAAAATGGGGGTTAATCATTTTGGTACTTTCAATGCAAATATTCTCTCTCTCGGATAGTTTCCGGGGGAAACATTGCTATCAATGAATAACACTGCCGCATCATTATGTAATTCAAGTTCTTATCGATTTTAAGAGCAGGAAGACGTTTGCATATTTACTTTTCTTTCAAGTCTGTAAGTTTGTCTTCTGCTCGAAAGCGATGAAATGGTTCAGTGTTTTTTTTTTTAATGTACAGTTTTTTTCACTTTTTGGCTTAATTATTGTTCAAGCCATTCTGTTTAGCCCAGTCATACCTGAATTACTTAGTATGTAATTCACCTGTTGCCTTACCTTACCAAGGGTCACTTGCGGAGATCACCGTCCTCGCGACCTGGTCTAAGACAAGGACTCTTGGTTGCTAGTCTCGTCGGTCCAGCTGTTAGTGCCCGCCACCTGCAATCCAATGTATGCACCACAACCCGGCTGATTAGGAACTGTTTTGAGGAATATGTCAAGTTCCCGCTTGAAGACAGCTAGGGATTTTTTTTTTTTTTGGTATTCACCCTTATGCATGAAGGGAGGGTGCTGAAGAGTCGTGGTTCCTTAACACTTATTGAGTTCTCTCTCTCTCTCTCTCTCTCTCTCTCTCTCTCTCTCTCTCTGCTTGCAGCAGTGCTCCTGCCTTCTTAAGTGGGTGTGACTTGAACTTGTCTAGCATGGGACGGTCTGGAGTTTTGAGACTCTCTGATCGCGGGTTTTATCCCCACCCGTGGTATGGTTTATGGGACAGTAGGCCTGCTGCAGTAAGTACTCCTTCTTATGTTCACTGTACTCATCGGTCCTTTGCTTTTCATTTGAGGTATACTGTATCGTCTGCCAAGCCTCACGTGTTCTTAAGTAGTAATTTCGGTGTTCAGGTTTGGTATCAATCCCTCCAATATCTTCCAGGTGTAGATTATGAAGACAGATATATTCTAAGAAGATTATGAAAATAGATACGTTCTAAGGAGTATAGTTCTAGGAACTTCAATTGCTCCCAGTAATTTAGGTGCTTAACTGAGTATATACGAGCTGTGAAAGTTCTCTGTACATTTTGCAGGTCAGCAATTTCGCCAGCTTTAAAAGGGACTGTTAGTACACAATATGAACTAACATAATGAATGTTTTAGTCCCTAAAACATCGAATATAATAAACAATCAGTATATAAATACTGAGATAAAAACCTCTCAGTGTTGTGTGTTTACCTCCTCCCCTCCTGCACTGGGACTGCACTATTAAATCTACGGTGGACAACACCTACCTGTTGTCGATTCTGGGGTCATTGCCCCTGCATCCAAGCCTGGTTGATGGTCTGATCAATCAGGTTGTTGGTGCTAGCAGCACGCAGTCCAACTCAGGCGACACTGCCCGACTGATCAGTAACTGACTTCAGGTACTAGTCACGCTCCTTCTGGCATCATTCTTTACTTGGTACTCGTGATGAATTAGTTGCCACTGCAATGTATTGGCTTGGAGCGAGTTGTAGTGTCGCTTAAGCCAGGTTATAAGCACTTAGCGAGCCTTGCTGCAACACATGTAGCAAGCAGAGTATTGATCAGCTACAGCACCACAACTCTACGGGATCCAGATTTCACGTTCCACTTGTAGCGCCTGAGTTCAGAGGTTGCGATGCACTACCTCCATTATATTTTGCATTTCGTTCAAGTACTGTACTTACATATTACGTGAATAACTAAATTTCATAATGATATGTATCCCTACCTGGCAAGTTACTTGAGAAATATATTTTATCTTGACAAATTAAAGAAATCTTAGTTTAGTTGAGATTTTTCTCCCAGTTCAAGACCAAAATGGAGTTTGAAAACCAAGAGCCATGAATTACGGAACTTCGCCAGGCTATGATACCGTCCTACTTAATGTCTGATGGGTGGTGTTGCCAGCACAGCTGAGAGCTGAGGAGCAGTGACTTACCTTGAGGCGTGAGTGAGAGAAGCGAGTGAGAATAGTGAGAGAGGCAGGGAGTGTTGAGGAGCTGCCTGCTGTGGCTTGGATGGTCGGCCAATGAGTCGACTTTCCTAACTGGCCCAGGTTACCTCACCCCAGCAGCGCTCTTATCCCTCCCTCGCTCACTTTGTCACTTCTTACGTCTCTGCTCATACTTCAGTCCCTCATGCATCTATCCTCTCCTCGTTATCCTTCTTCACAACTGCGGGTATCAGTCACGCTCAAAAATGTCTGAGATATCCTCAATGTCCACCAGCTTCTCAACCAAGGTAAAGATCAGCTAAATTATTTATCTCAGCGACTTAACAATATGAAACACGACGAGGCAGAGAGAGTGTGGCAGGGTGCGGAGGACCCTAGCGCCGGCGCTGTGCCTCACATGCACAAATTAAACTTGGAGGCGAGACTGTGGATGAGGAGTCAGCTGGTGCCTGAGGTCAGGAGGTGCTGCTGGAGCAGCAGGTGGGACAGCAGCTGGGGCACAATTGTTTCAAGGAGCAGCTGGGGAGAGTCATCCACACCCTGTCCGGAGTCCTGCCACCTACCTCACCACGATCGATGTGCAGCTACACGCCCACACAGCCACGACTGACGCGGGGGTCACCGCGTGCTGGGGGCCACCGCGTGCTCGGGGCCACAGCATGCTGGGGGCCACAGAGTGCTGGGACAGCCGTGCATCGCCACATGCTGGAAAGACTGCGGAGTTGTGGACCACCGAGTGCTGGAAGCGTGCCACGTGTAAGGACCACGGCGTGCGGGGAGTGTACTACATGTTAAGGACCACGTGTGCTGTTAGCGTGCCACGTGTAAGGACCACCGCGTGCGGGGAGTGCACTACCTGGAAAGAGTTCCGGGGGTCAACGCCCCCGCGGCCCGGTCTGTAACCAGGCCTCCTGGTGGAGCAGAGCCTGATCAACCAGGCTGTTACTGCTGGCTGCACGCAAACCAACGTAGAGCCACAGCCCGGCTGGTCAGGAACCGACTTTAGGTGCTTGTCCAGTGCCAGCTTGAAGACTGCCAGGGGTCTGTTGGTAATCCCCCTTATGTATGCTGGGAGGCAGTTGAACAGTCTCGGGCCCCTGACACTTATTGTATGGTCTCTTAACGTGCTAATGACACCCCTGCTTTTCATTGGGGGGATGTTGCATCGTCTGCCAAGTCTTTTGCTTTCGTAGTGAGTGATTTTCGTGTGCAAGTTCGGTACTAGTCCGACTAGGATTTTCCAGGTGTATATAATCATGTATCTCTCCCGCCTGCGTTTCAGGGAATACAGGTTTAGGAACCTCAAGCGCTCCCAGTAATTGAGGTGTTTTATCTCCGTTATGCGCGCCGTGAAAGTTCTCTGTACATTTTCTAGGTCAGCAATTTCACCTGCCTTGAAAGGTGCTGTTAGTGTGCAGCAATATTCCAGCCTAGATAGAACAAGTGACCTGAAGAGTGTCATCATGGGCTTGGCCTCCCTAGTTTTGAAGGTTCTCATTATCCATCCTGTCATTTTTCTAGCAGATGCGATTGATACAATGTTATGGTACTTGAAGGTGAGATCCTCCGACATGATCACTCCCAGGTCTTTGACGTTGGTGTTTCGCTCTATTTTGTGGCCAGAATTTGTTTTGTACTCTGATGAAGATTTAATTTCCTCGTGTTTGCCATATCTGAGTAATTGAAATTTCTCATCGTTGAACTTCATATTGTTTTCTGCAGCCCACTGAAAGATTTGGTTGATGTCCGCCTGGAGCCTTGCAGTGTCTGCAATGGAAGACACTGTCATGCAGATTCGGGTGTCATCTGCAAAGGAAGACACGGTGCTGTGGCTGACATCCTTGTCTATGTCAGATATGAGGATGAGGAACAAGATGGGAGCGAGTACTGTGCCTTGTGGAACAGAGCTTTTCACCGTAGCTGCTTCGGACTTTACTCTGTTGACTACTACTCTCTGTGTTCTGTTAGTGAGGAAATTATAGATCCATCGACCGACTTTTCCTGTTATTCCTTTAGCACGCATTTTGTGCGCTATTACGCCATGGTCACACTTGTCGAAGGCTTTTGCAAAGTCTGTATATATTACATCTGCATTCTTTTTGTCTTCTAGTGCATCTAGAACCTTGTCGTAGTGATCCAATAGTTGAGACAGACAGGAGCGACCTGTTCTAAACCCATGTTGCCCTGGGTTGTGTAACTGATGGGTTTCTAGATGGGTGGTGATCTTGCTTCTTAGGACCCTTTCAAAGATTTTTATGATATGGGATGTTAGTGCTATCGGTCTGTAGTTCTTTGCTGCTGCTTTACTGCCCCCTTTGTGGAGTGGAGCTATGTCTGTTGTTTTTAGTAACTGTGGGACGACCCCCGTGTCCATGCTCCCTCTCCATAGGATGGTAAAGGCTCGTGATAGGGGCTCCTTGCAATTCTTGATGAACACGGAGTTCAATGAGTCTGGCCCTGGGGCAGAGTGCATGGTCATGTCATTTATCGCCTGTTCGAAGTCATTTGGCGTCAGGATAACATCGGATAGGCTTGTGTTAACCAAATTCTGTGGCTCTCTCATAAAAAATTCATTTTGATCTTCGACTCTCAGTCTGGTTAGGGACCACCGTGTGCTGTTAGCGTGCGCGTGTTAAGGACCACCGTGTGCTGTTAGCGTGCCACGTGTTAAGGACCACCGTGTGCTGTTAGCGTGCCACGTGTTAAGGACCACCGCGTGCTGTTAGCGTGCCACGTGTTAAGGACCACCGTGTTCTGTTAGCGTGCCACGTGTTAAGGACCACCGCGTGCTGGGAGACACTGCTTGCCATTATTATTATTATTATCGCTATTATTAAAAATAGCGCTATACCAGTATGGATGATACAACGAAAGTCTTCACTTTTTTTTAATTTAATAATTCATGCTAAGCGCTAAACCCATGTGGGTCATTCAGCGCAAGACGTGTTGAGACTTGATTCTCCATCTGCTATTCGCGAAACGGACTCTCTTCCTATTTGTACTCATCTACTTACTCTCTCGTCACTATGTGACAAAAACCATTCTCTTAAAACTCACTCCAAGTGGTCAGGCTACTTAAAACCCCAAAATCTTAGAAAAAGTAGATGGACAGCCACTGTTTTCCTAGACACACTTAAGTTTTTATTATTTATGTTATATTAAAAGAAATTGGGCACTGAAATTTGATTGACCTCTTTGTCATGTTTTCAAATACCAATTTACATCTCTTCTTTCTTCTCTAACATTGGCAGCTGCAATCAGTCATCAGCATGAGTATGAAAACACGGAAGTGCCTGGACGATTACATCAAGTACAAATTTGTCCCACTTCAGAAGGGGTGACACAGAAATCCCCCAATGTGTGATATGCAGCCCACAGCATCAAAATTTGTCATCAGTAACACTTGTCAGCATCATCATTTATCACTATCACCATTTTCAGCACTCGCGCTTGGATTGTCATCTGAAGACAACCCATCCTGACTTTGCCTACAAATCCAAGGCTTTTTTCGAGGTAAGAAAGGAGTCCTTGAAGCGAGCTGAGATTGACAGCAGTTGAGCATCTTGTCAACAGACTTCAAATATTGGTGAAGCATCCTATTGAGACTGCTCACTTGATATCAAGGAGCAAGATGAGGCATACAGTCACAGAGACCCCTCATAAAGCCAAGTTTATTGATTGGGACAGAGCTCCTCCTGGGGAAGAACAGTGCGAACAAGCTCTCGCATATCTCTCAATTGAATGACTCTGCTAAGGAAAGGGTCGATGCTATGTCTAAAGACATTGGCGGTCAAGGCATCAACCAGATATGGACCCCTCTTGTCTTTTCAATACAATGCCATGAAATGACTGACGTCGCTCAGTGTTTTCAGCTGTTGATGTACATTTGTTTCAGGTTAGATGACAGCGTGAAGGATTAAATGCTGTTGTCATTCTCAGGAAGCCTCTACAACAGCAACAGATAATTTTGAAATGCTATCAAGCTTCTTTGAGGAAAATCTACTTTCGTGGAACTCACTGGTAGACAGAGCTCTGGCCATGCTTGATTTGTGATCCAATTTTGTAAATAAAATGAAATAAAAGTGTCTCTTTGTCATTGTTACACAGTCATTCATTGAGATATTTTAACATTCAAGACTCTTTATCAGATTAAATGAGGGATGTTCTGAACCTGACCAAGCGCAGTAAATATCATCAAAATTGGAACCTTAAACAGTCGCCTGTTCAAATTCTGACCATCAAACCATGCTTTTCCACACGTGCGTGGTGGCTTTCGAAGGAAAACGTGGTTAGGTTAGGTAAGGTTCGTCAGGAAACAGGACAAATGTTTCCTGACGCGGGTCTTAGTCAGATGATGACCCGCCTTTGGAGCTTTTGGTCATCTGACCGAGGCCTTCCGCTGGCTTACCGGTCCACCCCTTTAAAAATTATAGTCATTTATAAGCAGTCTGTCTATATACCTTAATAATAGGAAAACGTGTTTCAGCAACTTTATGAACTGCAAGATGTGGGAGTATTTCTAGAGTTACAGCAGAAGCTGTAACTCTAGAAATACTCAGGAAAGTTCCAGTTTAAAGGATTTCAGCTATCTAGATTACCTGTGGGCATCTGTAAAACACTGAATATCGTCAAGAAAAAACTGCAAGTAAAGAACATCATCATTGTGCAGTATTACACCATTTGAGCCTTCATGGCCAAAATCAACCTCTTGAAAAAGCAATAGAGGATGGAAGCAAACCATACCACGGGTAGGGATAGAACCCGCGATCAGAGTCATAAAACTCCAGACCGATGCACTAGCCATTGGGCTAGCTGGTTACAGTACGATTCGTCCAACTAGGTACTATATTTATACACCATAGGAAGGTTAGCATAGGCACCACTGTGACCACAAATGCAAGTTTTTACAGACGAATCTTCTGCCAGCGTGGCCGTGACTAGCTCTAGCTCAAGTCCCTTCAGAGCCATCATCATGACTCAAAATCGTAATGACACGATTGCAAACAAACCAAACCAAAGCTCCCGCTTCACACACGGAGGGCCCGGGTTCGATTCCCGGCGGGTGGAAACATTCGACACGTTTCCTTACACCTGTTGTCCTGTTCACCTAGCAGCAAATAGGTACCTGGGTGTTAG